GGTAGAATGGAAATAAGAACCACAGGGAGGAAGCGGGATAACTGTTGTTGCAGGGAGGGGATTGCAATCACTGAAATGAAACAAAATGTGTGATTTGTTGAATGTAAAACGGATGATCTTGTCTATAAACCTTCACTCAATTCACAATAAAAAGGTTTTTTTGTTTTTGTTTTTGTTTTTTTTTTAAAGAGTTAATTAAGAGAATGAAAAGACAACCCACACACTGAGAGAAGATATTTACAATATTTATATATCTGATAAATATCTTCTCTCAGAATACAAAAACAATGCTTACAAATCATTAAGGAAAAGATAAACATAATTGAAACACACAGACACACAAAGAGTTGAACACAAACGAGGCTATCCAAATGCCCAATAAGCATATTGTTGTAGTTGTTAAGTGCCGACAAGTGGATTCTGACTCATAATGGCCCTGTATAGGGTTTCTGAGGAGCAGCCGGTGGGTTTGAAACTCTGTCCTTGAGGTTCAAACAGACCTTGAGGTCCACTGCTTATCCTAATAGTGCCACACCAGGACTCCAAGAAGCTACTAAATATCACTAGTCATTCGAGAAGTGTAAAGTAAAACTATAATGATATATATATATATAAAACAATAAAACTATATATATATATATATATCACATGTCATGAGAAACAGTAACATGAAAAGGACTGACAACAAAATATTGGCAAAGATGTGAAAGAAGTGGAACTTTGATAAGTTGCTGATTGGTATAAATTAGTACAAAAACTTGGAAAAGCTGGCAGTATCTACTGAAATTCAGTATACTTGTACATATACCCCTACGATCTAACATACCCAACAGAAACAAGTATTCATATCTACTAAGTGACAGATACAGAGCTACTTAATAGTCAACATTTTGAAACAATCAAAATGTCCATCAAGATTTAAATGGATAAATAAATGATGGTACAATTACACAGCAAAAAGGAAAGAGCAATCACTACCACACATAGTAACATGAATGAATCTCACAGACACTACTTTGAATGAAAACAAGCCACACATAATAGAATATACACTCTATGATTTCAGTTATATGAACTTTCAAACACAGGCAAAAGCAATCTGTTGTTGTTAAGTACTGATTCATAGAGGCCCTGTATAAAGTTTCCATGGAGTGGCTGGTGGGTTTGAACCACCAGCCTTGTGGTTAGCAGTCCAGTGCTGATCTACAGCACTAGACCAGGACTCCAAAACCAATAGTCTATAGTGATTGCAGTTAAGACAGTGGGTATGGACAGGGATGAGAACAAGGGGAAGCCTCCTCCCTGGGTGCCAGAAATGTTCTGTATCTCTGTCTGGCTAGTGGTTACACAAATGGGATATAATACGTTAAAAATAAAATTCATTAGATGATTCATTTAAGATTTGTGAACTTAATGTTGATTGTATCTCAACTTAATCAAATGAAACAAAATAATGAAAGAATGAAAATGCTGGAAGGGGCTTTGGAAAGAAGCTGTTCAGCATAATTTACAAACGTCATATAGGATTACAGGGCAGTGGTCTCTAGCCCAGGTTTGGGGAGTGTTGAACTAAGGAGATCAACTTTACCAACCAATAGAGAGGGGTTCTTCTGGTGCTTTACTCTAGAAATGGCATTTATAATCGATTGGCCCCCTTTATAGTATGTAAAGGCAAACGTAGTCCCTAGGTGGTACGAATGGTCAGTGTGCTCAGCTGTTAACTAAAGAGTTGGAGGTTCAAGCCCACCTACCGGTGCGCTGAAAGAAAGACCTGGTAATCTACTTTAGAAAAATCAGCCACAGTTCTACTCTGACACACATGGGGTCACTCACCATGAGTCAGGGTTGACTCAATGAAACGGCTTTGTTGTTTTTTTCCCCCAGAAGGCAAATACAAGCCACAAGTATTCTCTGCTCTTAAAAACAAAGCACCTAGATGCCTCACTCTGACATAAAACATAAAACACAGCAGTTTCTCTGTTTTCGTTCACTCCGGTTTTCCAGTCTAAATCTGGAGGAACGTCTTACTTTTCAACAATACGGACATGTGTGACTAAAACAACAAGACCATGGTACAACAACTTTGATCCAGCATCTACAGTAACACCGGGAGTGGCCTTCCGGCTCAGGATCCACAGACGCTAACTGGAGCATGACTAGAGTCGGCCTTTGGAGACTCAGGAGAGGAAGTCTACAGTAGAAGGGGAGTCTCCCTGGAAGTGAGTGGCCTTGGTTGTCATGCCTACCTGCCTGGAGTCCTCTCTCTAGGGTGGACTAGCAGGGAGGGCCTAGAGGATTTCCTAAGTAGCTCCAGAGTCTCTTGTTCCATGCCTTGAAGCACCATCAGAAGTGCTTCACACCCAACCATCAGAATGTTCACACCCAACGGAGGATGTTGTAGAAGAATGAGTTTCAAGCACTTACTTTCATCATTAGAAACATTCCCCAGAGATGTGTGGCTGGAATAACGTTTGTTTTCACTTTCGTTGAGACATCTTTCAATCCAGCTCTCTAAAGAAAAAAAAAGGTCACAGAATCACTGCTGGTGTCTAGGAAGAGATGGACTCATCATTAACGTACTGGCTTTAAAAGCTCCTGGACGCTCCCGTCAAATGAGGCTGGGATTGGGTTTTACATGGAGCGCCAGTGTGTTGCTGAGCAGTTTGGAGGCAAGATGGTCATCGGAAGACCCCCTTGAATACTTCTTAGTCCAATTCTACTACTCTGGAGTATTCAGAGAGCAACACTACCAGTAAGTTCCTGAGTACTCTGTGAAATAAAATTTAATCAACGGAATCATGGTGGTGGTTTTCACACTTGTAAATGAACAGCTGAACACTGTCTTAAAATGAAAACAAAGTGAGAAGCAGATAAAACCATGGGCTGTTGCTGGAGTGGGGAGGGAGGGACAGGAACCTAGCAGTTCCCCTTCCCCAGTGACCTCTGAAGGAAATCTTAAAAACACAGACCAAAAGGCAGTGAAAGAAGAGAAATGAAGAGCGCTGTAGTAGGCGTGCAAAAGCCAAAAGGCTATGGTTTCTGTTTTCATCCTGTTAAAAAGGCTACACGTGTACTTTCCATAAAGTAGCATAAAGCTTATTTTATCTTCCAGACCACCCATGCAGCCACTCACTCATTCATTCACTCGACATTAGCTAAATACAGGAATTCTGCAATAACGTTTGTTTTCAAAAGACAAATCCATTCCAATGCAAGAGATACATTAGGGAACAATTTGAGGAGAGCACAAACTTTGTGTTTGCTTATGTGCCGTTTCCTCTCTGAGAAACATTAGATAAATGCAGCAAGCTCTCATCCAGCTGAAGTGAATCCTGTAAGAATAGGGTGAATGCTCCCCAAAATATGACAGCCTAGAAAAGCCGATGGGGTAATTCCATTGTGTCCTGGGGTCACTATGAATGGAAGCTGACTTCGAGGCAAGTAACCACAGTAGGATTTATTGAACACCTATTTTAACATCCCAGGCCCTCTATGTGTTATCTTGCGGAGTGCTCACAAGTCTCTCAAGTAAGGATTTTAATCTCTGGTTTTCCTAGAAAGCAGTGGTGGTTTAGGGAGATTAAGGAATGCAACTTCTCATATCCAAAGAGCTGGGGAAGTGTCATTAGCTAACACCTTAAGTGGTTGTTGTTGTTGTTAAGTGCCATCAGGCTGGTGCTGACTCATAGGGACCCTGTATAGGGTTTCCGAGGAGCAGCTGCTGAGTTTGAACTTCCGACCTTGCAGTTAGCAGTCCAGTGCTTACCTGACAGTGCCCCACCAGGACTCTGGAATACCTTAAGCAACACATTGCTAGAAGAATCCCTGCTGATGAGTAAGAGAAGTGACAAGCAAAAGCAAACAGCAGAGAGAATTGGGAGATTTTTGTTTTGTATTTCATGTCTCAACTATTCTTCTAACAGCTTTTTCCAAAATTGTAAATAAGTAGTAGGAAACACCAAGGGAGGGGCAAGTGCAAGGTTATTATGAGGATGGAGAACTCTGAGATTTCTGAGGAGCAGAGACGACGCTCAAAACATGAAGCCGCTTCCCCTCGCAGTTATCCAGGTAGGAACAAATGTCTTACAACGTTCTCAGCTCTGGGCTGGCTGACATGACAGTACAGCAAAAGCACTGTAGGGTACAAATCTCCAGAGGCCTTTTAAGGGTTCTCTAGTCCACTCCACTAACTCTCTAAGTCCTCGCACATTTTCTCTGGCAGCACCAGGGCCGATTGAAGATGCATCTACTTAAGCTTGCGGCCCAGAGTCCCACCAAACCACACTACCAAAAGCAACACCTACTGTTTCAGGTCAGCCTCTGGTCTTTCTAGATGGACAGGCATACCTAGCTGTTCTCATACATGTTTATGTGAGCATGCACACGTGCATACACACACACACACACTCATACATATTCTTCGCCATCAGAAACAGAGAATGAAGGGAAACTCTCTTCGTCTCCCCCTTTGGTGTGCAAGGATCAGGTCTACTGAAATTGGAGTCCTTGGAAGGGCCTGCTCTTGCAGGTGAGAATCTCCAGGAATTGCTGGAACTCTCTGTAGAACTCACCTCAACATTGAGGGGGAGGGAAGGGGACGGGAGGGATCTGTTTGCATACTCCATGTGGGCCAAGAGGAGGCAACACCAGCTCACTCACAAGAGCTCAAGTCAAGGAAGAGCCTTCCTAATGCCCGAGCCTCTCCCACATACTCCTCAATCCCAACTCAGGAGAGAGATGAAACCAAGGTTAGAAGGAAGGGGTGAAGGGCTGGAAGTGCCATGAAGAAAAAGAGAGAAGAAAGCTCACCAAGTAAATGTGTCTCCCACCCAATGCACACGGCAACCTGGGTCAGGCTGTAGCCAGAAAGGGGAGTTTTGACTTCAAACAAGTTCAAAGTTTAGATTACTATATTGTTGTTGTTATTTTATTGTTGTTAGTAAGTGCCATTGAGTTGGATTCAACTCAAGAGACATTGCATAGGGTTTCCCATCTTTGTGGGAGCAGAAAACCTCATCTTTCTCCTATGGAGCAACTGGTAGGCTCAAACCGCTGACCTTGTGGTTACCAGTCCAGTGCTGACCCTACATAGTGATCCTGCTTCCTTAGATTACTACAGGAGACTGAATAATTTAATTTCTGTTTGTTGTATTTTTTTTTGTATGTTGTATTTTTTATCTTATGTAAATCTTAAAGAAGAATCAAGGGATCACTTGAATTGTAATTCAGGGTCAAAGGAAGGTTTGCCTTCACAAATTAAATTCAGAAGGACAGTGGAATACTAAAGAATAAAACTGTTCCATGAGTACAAAAGAAAACCATGTCCACTCTTCCCAGTTATTTAAATCCCTCCTGTCCCATGTGATGCATTCTGATTGTGACTGATAGAGCTGAGTTTTAATCAGACCACTGGGTCTGTTTGGTTCTGTAGCACTGATTAACAGAGTTGTCAGGCACCTGGGAATTTACTGAGGTCCTAAGGAGTTGTCCATGGAGCCTGGGTGTGGAGCCGTAACATAAGTACTGGACTGGGAGGTCTGTTTGACCCACAAGGTCAGTGGCTCAAACTCACCAGCCACTTCTAAGGAACCCTATGCAGGGTTTCAGTGAGTTGGAACCGACTTGATGGGACTTAACAACAACAACAAGGAGTCTTCAGGAGTTTCTGGGTGGGGCCAATGGTTAACATGCTCAGCTAGCTGCTCACCACAAAGTGGGAGGTTTGGTTCCACCCAGAGGCACCTTGGAAGAAAGACGGGGTGATCTGCTTCTCCCGAATCAGCCACTGAGAACCCTGTGGTGTACGGTTCTGTTCCAACGAGACACATGCAGTCACCATGAGTCAGAGTTGCCCAAAGGCAACTGATGAAGAATTCTTAGAATATCAGAGCTGGAAAAGATTGTTTATTCCACCTTGTCAAATATCCCCTCCAAAGCATCCAGACAGATGGTAATCCTGACTCTGCTGAATACTCCTCGAGATTGGGAGTTCCCTCAGTTGTACAACTCTCAGTGTGAGAAAGTCCCCCTACAAGTCCTGTGTTTCCTTAACATTTTCACTGAGAGCCCACTGTGTGGCTGCTACGAGATTTATATGTTCATTTATTTAATCTCAAAACAATGCTGTTGTTGTTAAGTGCTGTGGAGCCAATTCGGACTCATAGCGAACCTGTATAGGGTTTACGAGGAGCAGCTGGTGGGTTTGAACTGGAGACCTTTGTGGTTAGCAGTCCAATGCTTATCCTATAGAACCACACCAACACTCCAAAACAACGCTAGGAGGTCGTTGTTGTTGTTAGGTGCCATCAATTCAGTTCCGACTCATAGTGACCCTGGGCACAACACTGTCAGGTCCTATGCCATTCTCACAGTTGTTGTGATGTTTGAGCCCATTGTTTCTAACATTGTGTTAATCCATCTTGTTTCCATTTGTATTGTCATTTCCTTGAGCCTGGTTTGTCTTCACTTCAGCTTGGACTATTTCCTTCAATACCATCATTTCATGATCATCTACCTCTTGAAATGGTTGAGCATCGACCAGTTCTTTTTGGTACAGTGACTCTGTGTATTCCTTTCATATTTTTTTTGATGCTTCCTGCATCGTTCAATATTTGTTCAATAATGTTGCTGCTGTTGTTAAGCGCCATCAACTCGGTTCCAACTCATAGCAACCCTATATGTGGTTTCAAAGGAGCAGTTGGCGGTTGTAAACTGTTGACCTTGTGGTTTGAAGTCCAGTGCTGATCCTACAGCACCACATCAGGAGTCAATAATGTTGTTGTGAAGTGCCATCAAGTCGGTTCTGACCCATAGTGACCCTGTATAGGGTTTCTAAGGAGCGGCTGGTGAGCTTGAGCCACTGACCTTGTGGTTCAAATGACTTTACAGTCTAGCGCATTAGCCCACAGCGCCACACCAGGACTCCAGAGCCAACAATAGAATCCTTTAATATTACAAATAGAGGTTTGGCTTTTTCTTCAGTTCTTTCAGTTTGAGAAATGCTGGGTGTGTTTTGGTTTTTCTGATGCCAGAAAATATTTTTATTTTGGTTTTCTGACTCCAGGTCTTTGTACATTTCTTTATAATACTTGACTCTTTCTTCTCTAGCTGCCCTTTGCTTTCTTTCCATTAATGACATTTTGCTTTCTTCATGTATGACATTCTTATGTGTTCTTCATACATGATGAATATCTCACAATGCTTCTGGGGCCTGTCTTTAGTGTCTAATGTATCCAATCTGTTCTTGAGATGATCTCTAAATTCAGGTGGGGTAGACTCAAAGTCATATTTTGACTCTCATGAACTTGTTTTCATTTTCTTCAGCTTTAGCCTGAACTTGCAACATGAGCAATTTATATGATATAATATGTTCCACAGTTGGCCCCTCACCTTGCTTTATTTAATGATATTGAGCTTTTCTATCACCTTTCAACAGGTGTAGTCAGTTTGATTCCTGTGCATTCAATCTGGTGAGGTCCATGTATATAGCTGCTGTTTATGTTGTTGAAAAA